CCATACACTTGCCATGTAATCCCATGAAATAGCCTAACATGCGTCATGTTGTGACATGTCTTTTTAGCATACTTTTGGCTTGACTTCAAGAAGATTTTATCCATGCTTTGGTATGCTTGAGGTCTGATTTTGGTTGTCTTGGTCACCCATGACTTGTTTTGCATAGCTTTGGTTCAATCTTGCTTGTAAGCTTTGTGTATTGAGTCATTTAGTATGCATTACTGGGCCTATTTCAATGATTTGGCATCATTTGTAGTGTAATTTCAGTCTATGTTTCATGGTCATGCATATGCATTTATCACTCTTTAAATGAGTTTGAGAGTTGTGCTTGTATGTCTCATTTATGGACCATTGCATGAACTTCATCTTTGTGCGTTTCGAGCCACCATCCCAACACATTTTGCCACGGATTTTGGCCTGCATCAAGTCTGTTTGGGGTTGGTTTCGTCATTTAAGCATCGCTTTGCATGTGTATAGTGTATTGCATTTCACTAGCTTCGGTGTTTGAGTCTTTAACAATGCATTACATGAGTGTTTGCATGCTTCAGAGTCATTTTGGGGCCATTTAGTATGCCATTTCAGAGCTGGAATGTATGCCATTGTATGCCATGTTTCATCCTTGCATTGCTCTTGGAGAGTTGCATTTTGTGCCTCAGGCTTGGAGCCCTTGCATTGTGCATGTTTGCATGAATCTTGGGCCTTGTTCTCATCTCATCTTGGCCACTGATTTTGGCATGCTTGAGAGCTACCCATGTTAGTGTAAGTCCATCTCACCATGTTGTTGCATGCTTGTTTCATTTTGCATGTTGTTGCATGCTATACATGTTCACATGTTTAGGTTGTATGCCTATAGCATATTGCATGTTAACATGCTCATGTTGCATTAGATTTGTTGCATACTTAAGTTATTTGCATGCTTGCTTGCTTGCTTAGGTTGCATTGCATTGTGTGTGCATCCCTTGCCTCTTGATCAATCATAATAGAGGTTGAGGCCCTTTATGTGTTTTGTGCATGTCATTCTATATCGAGTTGCACACTTGGCTTCTTTGGCCATCATGCATTGAAATGCGTGATTGATGGTTCGAGGGTCGAGGACTACACTCTTTTGAGTCTTAAACATGATATGGAGGGTGGTTGTGCATACATTGCTTTGAAAATGCATTGCCATGCTCTGTTTGTCCTCAGCTGTAGCAAAATAGGATTCTATAGGAAGAGATGGCCGGTCAGCCATCTTCAGTGCCGGCTGGCCATGTATTGTTGGCCGAGAGCTCCACTTATGGCCGATGACCATTTTCCAATGGCCGGTGACCTTTCCTTTTGGCTGGTGACCTTTCACAATGCTCAGAAGGTGGTTCAGAAGCATCCTTGGGACTTGTGCAGTTCTCAGAGGTGCAGAACAGTGTAAACTGAGGCAACATGTGGCATGGCAACGGGTTTCCGAGCGAGGCGAATCGAGCATGCATCGTCCCATCATTTCGAGGCAGGGCTGCGGCCACCTCCTTTTGTAATTAATTTGTTAATTAATTAGAATTTTGTAATATTTAATTAGCTAGAGTAGTTAATTATTTATTTGGTTTGTATTATTTATTCAGACCCTCCGAGAGAGGGCAATGTTGTAATAAGTGTGCGTGAGTGTGTGCATGTCTTCTAACCCCCACTTCTTTCTCCTTTTTACTTACCTACTTTCAATGGTTAGTTTTAGGGCACATTTCAATTAGCATACTTAAGATAGCATGTTTGCATCATTCATCTGTATTGCATGCATTAGGCTCGGCGCATCATGCTAACTGCATTGTATTTCAATTCCAATTTGAATACATGTATCAAGTTGCATTTCACATGACATCTTAGAATAGCCGAGCTTATTTCTAGTTGCCTTTTGCATGTGTTGCATTAGCCATCTTAACATGAACTAGGATCATGCATTTGGTTACTAACTAGTTTCTGTTTTGGCTTGGAATACTAGGTAAGCATTTACGCTTTAGCCTCCTTGCATGTGTGTGAGTATTGCCATGACAGCATGCTTACTATGAGGCTATTTGCGTATGTGATGTAACTGCATGAATGCCGGTGGGTGAAGGTTGGATTGCTTGAATTGAGCCAATTCATTGAAATCCGTATTTTAGCCTACTTGCGAGTAGCAAAACTCAAACCATTTTTTCGAACAAACGGATATGTAATGCTTTGTTCCAAATTAGGCGATCTAGTCTATACTTGTTTTGCTGTGCGCATCACATAGTAATTCTAGGTAATTAATCGGAATAAGAACGCATGTGTTTTTCAAAAACGAGATATCATGTTTAGTAGTGGCCAATCTTTGATCGGGCGAGCGGGGGTGCTCATAGCTGACCTTCTCCAATCGTACCCAAGTTCCCGAGCCGAGGCAACTTTGGTGATTACGGACATGTGGCCTTAGGCAACGAGTTAGGGTTTCCTAAAATTTCCAAAAATAAAACATTTAGGTGGCGACTCCGTATCTGGCAAAGCAGTCCATGTTTGGCACTTCTTTCTAAAAATCTGTTTTCCAAAACGATTTGCTAGACTTGGACTCTTTGGTGATTTATCAATCTTGCATTGCACTTTGCGAGATCAGATTAAGAACCGTGATATTTGAGTCCAAACTGTAGTGAGCCCAAATGAACAAAACGGGATTCCTTCCCGGGAAGTTCGGGGACGTCTATAACGTGGCGATGCTGAAGACGATTCATGGGAGGGAGTGAGAATACCTGTTTTAGATTATGCTTGAGGTTATCGTGATAGGTTTGGGAAGCGACATTTTTTGATGCCCAAGTATTATCCAGTTTAAGGAGCTTCATGTATGGATCCATCAGATAATCAAACAGGATATGGTTTAGCAGACGCTAGACTTCTGAAGTGGCCCGCACTATTTATAGAGCGAGTGCAAATGGAAAGATTATGTCGGGAAAATCGACTGAAGGTGCCAAAAGCACGTTCTGTTGAGATCCAAAAGGAAAATCCTTATAATGTTGATCGACTATGTGAAAGACTACAACGGGAGATTTCTCAAATGCGCCGTAGGTTAGCCCGCGATATGCAGTATATTAACATGTTTAAGAAGGATGCCCAGAAGAACAAAACAGAACAAAATGTTGCGGCTATTAAGGGTATCATGGAGGATCCTGAACTTGTCTCTGACGCTGAGCTTTCGGATATTCAGACTCTGAGCCACCTGCCGATTTAAGCGCGAATTAGGTGTTAATGTCTACACTTCGGCAATATTAGGTCATGCATTAATATGTAATGTCTGTGTTAAACTAAGTATAACTGTTATGTTTATATTTATGTATTGTGTCTGTCAAATGTTGCGGCTATTAATTGCAATATTAGGTCATGAATTAGGTGTTTCTCTGTCTAACTGTTAGTTTATGTATTGTGTGTTCAGTCAGTTCGGGTGTCCAGGATGTATGTTAATGTGTGTTCAGTTCATGGTGTCAGAATGTATTTTTGTGGGAGACTTATGTCTGTACTACTATGTAACTGAAAACTATTACATTTGCAACTTTAGTTATGTTGTTTTCATGCCTGTATGAGTATTTAGTAATTAGTGACTTCGTATATTATGTATCAAGTTTTATTACAAAAATGTTGACAAATTATTTTAGGAGCTCTCTGTGGTGCCAAAATAATTTTCTGAATAACACCTTCTAATCCAAAACAAAGACAAAAGAAAAATTTTTTTTACATGAAAACGACTTTAGTAAAGCAAAAAAAAAAAATTATTAATTACATTATCACCTTCTAACCCAAAACAAACACAAAACAATAAACAAAAAAAATTTATATGAAAACGGCTTTAGTGAAGACCAAAAAATTTTTTGAATTACATTTTCTAAACCAAAACAAAGACAAAAGAAAAAAAAAAAAAATTAACATGAGAACGGCTTCAGTAAAGCCAACAAAAATTTATGAATTACATTATCACCAAAACAATGACAACAGAAAAAAAAATTTACAAAAAAAAATTAAATATAATTTAAATGAACAATGAAAGCGTGGTTTCAATCCATGCTTACTGTAGTGAACAGTGAAAGTATGAGTTTTGTAGATGAACATAATTGGCTTAATAATATCTAAATGAACATGATTTTAAAATTATATATATGAAAAATATTATGTAAAATTAATATATGAAAAGAGGCTTTTCCCATAAAAATTTAAATGATATATAAATTGGCTTAATTCCCAAATGTTTGGTAATTAGTTAAAAATATTATGTAAAATTAATATATAAAGAAGAGGCTTTTCTCATATGATGTAACAGAAATTAATATATGAAAAGAAGAGATTTTTCCCATATTATGTAAAATTTCTGAATTACATTTTGTAAACCAAAACAAAGACAAAAGAAAAAAAAAAATTTCAACATGACAATGGCTTTAGTAAAGCCAATTTTTTTTTATGAATTACATTATCACCAAAACAATGAGAACAGGGAAAAAAAATATTAAAAAAATAAATAAATATATAGATAAATGAAAAGTGAAATCGTGGTTTCAATCCACGCGTGTTTTTATCAACAGTAAAAGCGCTATTCCAAATAGCGTTTTCCTCACAAAAAATTAGATGCATAGAAAGCGCTATTTCAAATAGCATTTTCTTCAGAAAAAAAATTTCTACATAAAGCGCGATTTCAAATAGCGTTTATTCGGGAAAATTTTTTATGTTAAAAGCGTGATTTGTAACCACGTTTTCTTAATAAAAAGCGTAGTTTTGAATAGCGCTTTCACTATTCATCACATTTTGGACTCCAAACAGTGAAAACGCGATTTATAATAACACTTTAGCCTAATTTGAGAATTTCGTCCAAACTATAGTTTAAAAATTAAGATACAAATCAGTCTTAATATTGGAAAAGCCTCTAAAATTTCTCCAAAGTCTAGTAGTAAAATAAATAAAAACAAAAACAAAAATTAAATCTAGTAGTAAAATAAATAAAAACAAAAACAAAAATTAATAAACAAATAAAAAGCTCCATATTCAGCAGCAGCTCTCCGCCGCCATCCCTTTCGTATTTTCTCTCTCTAAAAAGGAAGAAGCTTCAACCAGGCAGGTTCAATTCTCTCTCCACATATATCTCTACACGTGTATATATATTGATATTTATATTTGTAAAATTATAGTATAGGATTCGTATTTAGGTCTTCAATTTCATTTTCGTTTTTCATACCAATCTTCGAGTGGACTCTCCTATTCTGAGGTTTGTCTTACAAACTGAGAATTGAATTTCACTTTACTTGCCCAATTATTGCTGATCTTCTTTCATCTCAATTTTTAAATTATTTGAAATCCAATTTCAATTTTTATTATTATTATTTTTTTAATTTTGCATTTTATCAGGAATGATGTGGGCAATTGCAAGGCGAAAAGTTGCTTCTAGTGGTTCTTGTGCTTGGGTATGTTTCAAAATCTTCAGACATTCGCAATACATACATACATGTATATACACACACTAGAAGGTGTGCACACCCATATGGGTGTGCTTAAAATCTGCATTTACATATAGGCAGCTACAAATTCATGGGTGTATTTCAATTCTGCAGTTACAAAAGAAGGGTAATTTAGGAATAAAAAAGTTATGACAAAAGGATTCACACCAATAACCAAGTACGCACATTACACGTATAATTTGTAATTGGATTTGATAATTATTATAGTGTTATTTGAATCAATTGGAGAGAATTGAAACAGTTTATGACAATTATCAATAATATATACATATATATACACACACAAGAAGGTGTGCATGCATACCCATATGGAGGTGCTTAAAATCTGCATTTACAGATAGGCAGCTACAAATTCATGGGTGTATTTCAATTCTGCAGTTACAAAAGAAGGGTAATTTAAGAATAAAAGTTGTGACAACAGGATTCATACCAACAACCCAGTACGCACATTACACGTGTGTAAGTTGTAATTGGATTTGATAATTATGATAGTGTTATTTGAAGCAGTTGGAGAGAATTGAAAAGTTTATGACAATTATCATGTTTTTTGGGTCACCAACTCAAGCTTTGCTTTATATTATATAGATAGTATAGGTATATATGCGTGTGTATGTGCGCACACCCTGTATTATCTATATTGTATATAAAGCAAAAGTTGGACTTGGTATCCTAAAGTCTTTGCTTCTCTTTATGCCAAGTGGATTTTCCACTTTATCTATTCAAAACATGAAATTAAATAGAGAGGAGAATTGGACTCGAAACCAAGACCTTGAGTTTGATAAAGAAGACCCTTACCACTTGAGCAACACACAGTATGTGTGCCTTCCTTCTAGTAGAGTATATATGTAGACGTATTACGCATATATATATATATATTGTATTCCTGGCATGCTTGTATCTATTAATCTGCATGCATGTTAGTGTCAGAATGTTTATATGCATCTACCGATATAGAATTGTGGAAATATGTGATTTATGGTGTGTTTGATTTTGGGCATAGGACAGTCCTTTGGGAGGATTCGACCTGCATCAACGGCATCAACGCCACGTGGATATGTTGCTTCGACCACTGCTAATGAGGTTTTAGCTTGATCTCTTCCACATTCTTATTTGTATCTGTTATTACCCTCTCTATCTTGCTGCTAATTGAATATGTAAGATTGACCGTCATGGACAAGGTTTTAAAAAGTGGCCACAACCGTTACGTAACGGTTTTGACGGTTACCGCCACCCGTTACGGCCGCTTTTGCAATGTGATTGAGATTCACAGGTGTGTCGGCTGTAGCGGTCGTAACGGTGCCATAACAGCCGTAATGGCCTGTTACGCACCGTTACGTAACGGTTCCAAACTGTTTCTTTCGAAAAAACATACAAAAAAAAGCTGAAACTGGGGGAAGACGGATAGAGAGAAGAGGGAAGATAAAGAGAGAAAATGGAGGAACAAGAGATAGAGAGAGAGAGAAGAGGGAAGATGAAGAATATGTTATTGATTTGTTGAAACTGTAAGACCTATGCTATTCTATTCAGCTGCTATCACTAAACTATTTTGTTTGTGTGTGTTTATCTATATATTGTTTGAAAATAATAATAATAAGTGTGATCATTATCTATTTGGCTTGGTTAAAATATGTATATATATATATATTTAGGCTCTTATTTATTCTCTTATTTTTGTCATTGTTTATCTTATATATAATAGTTAGTGATCGATTTTTTTGTATAATATAAAGTCATTAATTATTAAAATAAAATGTAAAAAACTCAGTTTATAGTGATTTAAAAATATGAAATATATTGGATCATATTTAAAAATTTACAAAAATTGATCAATATTTATTTTTAACCCAATAAATATGATCATGGAAAAAAAATATGCGTATTGGTAAGTTTTTTTTCAAATTGTGCGAAAAATAAAAAAATTCACGATTCTGGTTACTGCAACTGTTACACTACGGCCTTTACACCCCGCAACCACAACCGCAACCGCAACCGCAACCGCGTCACCGCCACCGTTACGGCGACCGCAACCGCTTTTCAGAACCTTGGTCATGGATTAGATCAGTATTAATGTTGTATTTGACAACGTTTTAATAGATTTGTTATTAGTGTGAAGCATACAACATGGGTTTTTATTTGCAAAATTTATAGCTTTATTTATGAACTGCAATAGTTGTCACTTATGAACTGCCACTGAACTGTAAATTTGTCTGTTTTATTGCTGTTGATTATCTCTATCACCATGTGCAAGGGGTTTCAAATTTTCGGATACTACTTTATATGTTAGGATAGCATGAATCACATAATTATATGTTAAAATTGAACTGATACCTTCATTATATTTTGTGCGCTATCTAACTAAAAAGCCAGCTCCCACACTTTTTCCTTTGTGGTTAACTTCAAACTATAGTTTGCTTGGTTGTGTATTGCCAGAAAACTTAAATGTAATGGCCATTTTTGCAGACCCTACATCTTGGGAGAGGATCAAAACTAGTGCAACACTTTGATCAACGCATTTATTTGGGTAATTTTATCGTAGATTATATAATGGCCTTTCAGTCCATAACTATTGTCATGGAATTAACTCACACATGCAATCATGTACTTCTTTTGTTACTGATTCCTTTGTATTTCATGTGATTCCAGGGTGTCCAGCTAATTCAAAGCCTGTAAGGTTAGCAACATCTATTTCATTATTTCTTTGTTCATCACTTTTTTTTAGGTCTGATGCTGATATCTCTCAATACCAACATTCTTTCTTTGCAATCTCTTACACATTGGATGTTGATTTGGGGGGATTTTGCCCTGCAACATTTATCAATTTTTGTCCTGCAACGTTTATCAATTTATTCAAGAACTGTCGAGAAGATAAAAGAAATGAAAAAGAAGTAATGGAGCTTTTGGATTGCTTGTCCATTTTCATTGTATCTTGCATATTAATTGCTGGCATTTTTTTCCCTCTTAAATGGTCTACAGGCATGTGTCATTTCTTCAAACAGATTTTCCAAGTCGATTGCGGAGTAGATCATTTTCTTCAGACAATGGTGCGATAGTTTAAAGATTCTTCGTCATGTCACTTTACCTGCTTTAACATGTGTGTCACTATTTTAGATCTCCATCTAACTCAAATTTTCCTTTTCTACAATGAAGGTGATCTGGTTGACGCTGTAGTGCCTTTTATGGGTGAATCCATCACTGATGGCACTCTGGCCGTGTTTTTGAAGAGTACGTCATTTCTGTGTTCTATAGCATTTTTATTTTTTGACAAGTCTGTTCTATAATATATTTAATGGATATTTGTGTGAATTAAATACATTGCTTCTCATACTATTTGCAGAACCCGGTGATCATGTTGCAATTGATGAGCCAATCGCCCAAATTGAAACTGATAAGGTACTTTCTTTGTAATCCCATTAGTTTAAATATGCAGGTTTTGAACCATTGCAAATGCTGAGTATCATGATCAGGACTAAATAGTTTTCATATGCTTTTACCAGGTGACTATTGATGTTGCAAGTCCTGAAGCTGGAATAATTCAAAAGGTAAGAGTGCGGTATCACCTAACTATGAGTTCACCTTTATTCTACTTTATCTTCTCTTAATGAACCTGTGTTCAAGTGTGTAATCTATACCTATTTCTTTTAGTTTGTAGCCGCAGAAGGTGATACTGTTGAACCAGGGACAAAAATAGCAATCATTTCAAAGTCTGGTGAAGGTGTAACCCATGTAGCTCCGTCGGGGACCACCGCTGAGCCAGCTCCTGCAGAAAAGAAGACAGACAAGCAAGAGTCTACCACAGAAACTCCTGTTCTTAAGGAGGCACCCAAGGAGAAGCCTAAAGCACCTCCACCACCTCCATCTAGACCCTTGGCCACAGAACCTCAACTTCCTCCAAAGGAAAGGGAAAGAAGGGTAAGCATCATGATCACTGATAATTTACTGATTGTGCTGTAAAGGTTTCATTTTTAGGTTTAAACAATATCCACTAGTTTTTCGTTCTTTTTAAAAAAAAATATAATTAAACAAAAATAGCAGAAGCAATTCGTTTTTCTATTTCACCAAATGTTTCTGTATTTATGTATGTTCAGGTTCCAATGACAAGACTCAGGAAACGTGTTGCAACACGTTTAAAAGACTCTCAGAATACTTTTGCATTGCTGACTACTTTCAATGAAGTTGATATGTAAGCGTTTATTTATTTATTTATTAATTACCCTAAAATCTTGATTAAATATTGCCGCCTTTCATTAACCAAGGTGCATGATCTTTCTCATGGTCTCTTGGTGATTCCTAGACATACTTCATCCCCAAATCCATACTTCAGGGTAAAGTTGCATTGTGAAACATTATTTGCATGATTCATCAAGGAGTTTCGATTTTCATCACGAAGTGTAATGTGCATTCCTTTCTGCATATAGTTTGATTCAATTGACTTAAATGGTTATTTTGTTTTCCCTTGTGGCAATTTCCTTATGTAATTCAGGACTAATTTGATGAAGCTTCGTTCTGATTACAAAGATGCTTTCGTTGAGAAGCATGGAGTGAAGTTAGGACTCATGTCAGGATTTGTTAAAGTATGTGTTTGTCATTTGCAGTGATTCCCCACCTTATATACAATTACAAATGTGTGTTTGTGCTTCAATTTTTCAATTTTCATTAACAACTCCTCATTTTCTTTCAGGCTGCTGTTAGTGGGCTCCAGAATCAGCCTATCATTAATGCTGTCATTGATGGGGATGACATCATTTATAGAGATTACATTGATATTAGTATTGCTGTTGGTACATCAAAGGTTAGTGATTTTTCTAAATGATGCAGAGGCCTTGTGATTATAAGTGATGGAACTTTTTAAGTGTCCAATTATAACTATTGCTTTTAATACCATTTGAATATACAAAATGATAGTTTGCTTCTGAAAGTGACCGCTGTTACTGTCTTTAGTATGAATGATATCAATTCACTCTCAGTGCTAGTACTTAATGGGCTCAGTTATAAATGGCAAGTCCTCTGAGGATGCATTGTCAACATTGTAATAATAAGCAATCCTGCTGAAAGGACAAATGTGGTTTTCTGTTCAACGTTCCTTTCAACTCAGTTCTTTTCAAATTTCTAAGCATGAAGTGAGTTTCTTTTTCTTACTATTGAAAGTGTATGCCACTTAATTATTGTCTCAGTTGTATTGTACTTGTTTTGATGGCATGAGCTATTGGTTTTTGGCCCAATGGGAACGTGATAGAAGGTAAATGACATATTTTATGATGCCCTTAAGACATTTGGGAATTAAGGTTAAAGATAGTGTTCAAGCTCACAAAGTGACTGAAGCCGGGAATGTGGTATAACAATGAACATGGCTTCAAAGGTTCCAACCAAGGTTCTGAAAAGCGAAAGCGGTTGCGGTCGCCGTAACGGTGGCGGTGGTGCAGTTGCGGTTGCGGGGTTGTAAAGGCCGTAAGCGTAACGGTTGCGGTAACCGGAACCGTTATTTTTTTTATTTTTCGGCACAATTTGAAAAAAACTTACCGATACGCACATTTTTTTTCCATGATCATATTTATTGGGTTTTAAAAATAATATTGATCAATTTTTATAAATTTTAACTTTGATCCAATATATTTTAATATTTTAAATCACTATAAACTGAGTTTTTTTAAATTTTATTTTAATAATTAATGATTTTATATTATACAAAAATCAATCACTAAACATTATATATAAGATAAACAATGACAAAAGTAAGAGAATAAATAAAAGCCTAAATATAATATATATATATATATATATTAATCAAGCCAAATAGGTAATGACACACTTATTATTATTATTATTATTATTATTTATTTTTTCAAACACATATATAGATAAACACACACAAACAAAATGGTTGAGTGATAGCAGCTGAATAGAATAGCATAGGCCTTACAACTTCAACAAATCAATAACATGTTCTTCATCTTCTATCTTCTCTCTCTCTATCTCTTTGTTCTTCCATCTTCCCTCTTCTCTCTCTATCTCTCTTCCCCCCATTTTCAACTCTTTCTTTTTTTTGTGTTTTTTTTGAAAGAAGCAATTAAGAACCGTTACGTAACAGGCCGTTATGGCACCGTTACGACCGCTATAGCAGCCGCTACGACCGATACACCTGTGAACTCAATCACACTGCAAAAGCGGCCGTAACGGGTGGCGGTAACTACCACAACCGTTACGTAACAGCGTTACGTAACGGTTGCGGTCGCTTTCTAAAACTTGATTCCAAACACTTTTAGGAAGCTTTATTGAAAAATTAAGAGGTATTACTCCCATAAGGCAGAAACATAAAAGAATCACTACTCTTGAGGCCTTTTGGGTTGTATTTGTTTATTTTTTTAATATAATATTGTCAACAATGCCTGTGCAACATTGTGAAACCTGGTGTTCTTTTTTTGATCGGCATGTGAAAACCATGTGAAACTTGTGAGAATATTAGGTTAGGCAGTGTTTCCTTTTCGGGACAGTGGTACTTCCAATGACTCCTCTGATGGGAAAAAGCACACTCATTAGAAGCTAAAAAACGTCATAAACAGAAAGCTTAGGGGTTCAAATTGTAATTACCCACAACTAGAATCAGATGGGTCAAATTGTAATAAGCAACAAATTATCCAAAAAACCTATAAACTGCAAAGGTCTTGAATAAAAGATATAATAATCAAGTGGGGTCAAAATATAGTAACCATAATTTTGACCTAGAGACCACAAATATTCCCAAGTCAGAAGAAAGCACCGAACTAGAAGCACCAGAGGGAGATTAAACACAATTATCCTAAGTCAAAGGAAGCACCGAAGCAGAGAACTAGAGAAAGATTGAAGCTGGTCGAAAGAAGCTAGGTAGCTACCACGATCGTGATTTCGGAGAGAGAGAGAGAGATGTTGCGACCATGGTGCAATTTTAGAGGGAGGTTGTAACGTCCCAACCTTTCACATGTCATCGATATTGTCTGCTTTGGGCCATGCCCGCACGGATTTGTTGTTTCCCGTGGGTTACCCATCTCAAAACTACTTCAGTCTAAGCACGCTTAACTGGGGAGTTCTGCTAGGGATTTCATTACCCTAGAAAACGCCTCGATTCTATGTAAGGGTCCAGGTTTTTACTTTTATATTCCAGGAACTCCCCCTCTATTCCCAATGTGGGACACCGGGACCTTATAATCCATCCCCTTAGGGCTGTACGTCCCGTGCAGTAGCCTGCTAGCTCGCAAGCCCACCACATGCACGAGAGACGCTAGAGCCACAATCAGTACTCCAGAGAGTTGGCTCTGATACCATTTGTAACGCCCCAACCCTTCATATGTCGTCGATATTGTCTGCTTTGGGCCATATCCGTCCGGATTTGTTCTTTCCAGTGGGTCCACCATCCCAAAACTACTCCAGCCTAAGCACATTTAACTGGGGAGTTTTGCTAGGGCTTTCACTATCCTGGAAAAGGTCTCGATGCTATGTAAAGGTCTAGGTTTTTACTTTTATAGCTCAGGAATTCTTCCTCCATTCCCGATGTGGATGCGAGACTTTACAGAGGTCGCGTTTGATGGCCATGAACTAGAGGCTAAAACAAAAGGGTTGATTTGAACACAAATGAGGACTTGAGCCAAAGAACTCGATCAAACTAGAGATCAAAACTAGAGATGATTTTGAACCAAAGAGAGAAATTCGAACCAGAGGGAACTTCGAATCAAAGGCAGAACCTTGAATCAGAGGAAACTTCGAATCAATCAGAGGTAAGAACTAGGGTTCGGACGCGGTTCTAATACCATGTAAGTTTCTGAATAAATCTATATATTCAAAATTGTGTAATAATATAAAAAATACATCTAATTATATAGTAAACCTAACCCCAAGACTAAAAGAAACACTGTCTAACCTATATTGTCACATGTAATTTTTTGAATAAATCTGTGTATTCAAAATTGTGTAATAATACAAAGAGTACATCTGATTATATAGTAAACCTAATCCCAAGACTAAAGGAAACATTATCATATAAATACACCTAAAACACTGCCACATATATAAATCAACCTAAAGGAAACACTACCATATATATACACCTATGCAATCTCTCAGAAAAGAAACACTGCCTAACCTAATATTCTCACACCCTTGCTCAAACTCAAGGTATTGTAGCAAAAAACGTTGAGAGTTTGCTAAAAAGAAACTAAAACCGAGCAGTGGTGTGAGTCTTGGTAAAAAAGTCAGCAAGTTGCAAAGTTGAAGAGACGAAAGGAAGCGAGATAGAGCCGGACTGCAGATGCTGACGAACAAAGTGACAATTAATCTCAATGTGCTTTTGTTCGCTCATGGAAGACAGTGTTATGGGCAATCTAAATAGCACTAAGGTTATTACAATAGAGGGAGGTCAGAGAAGACTGAAGGACGCCCAACTCAGATGAGAAGGCAACGAAGCCAGACAACTTCATCAGTAGTGTGAACCATAGCACGATACTCAGTTTCAGCAGCAAAACGAGTAATAATAGTTTGTTTCTTGCTTTTCCAAAAACTCATTGAATTGCCAAGAAACATACAAAAACCAGAAGTGGACTTACAATCCTGTAACATCACCATTCCAATCAGCATCAGCATAGCAAGTAAAGCCAAGGAAGAAGTAGAGGACAACAGCAATCCTTGGAAGATAGTACTGCGAAGACAGTGAAGAAATCCGAACTAGCAGCCCAATGTTAGAACGAGGAACAGAAACGAACTGACTAACCACACGAAACTACATAGGCAAGATCAAGACGAGTAACCGTCAATAGACTAAGCAACCTATGAGCTCCGATATAAAGTTGGATCAGGTAGAGGAACACCATCAGTAGTATAAGTTTCACATTAAGTTCAATGGGGATATCAGCAGTCTTAGTGTTAGTAAGACCAGCACGGTGAATAACTTCATTAGTATACTTAGCCTGAGATAGAAAGTAGCCATTGGGAGAAAAAGCCACCTCAATACCAAAGAAAGTACCGCAATGGGCCCTAAATCCTTCATTTCGAAGGTGCGGAAGAAGAATGCCTGCTTGACTTCAGAGATAGTAGAAGAAATCAGAACCAATAATAATTATATCATCCACAAACAGTAATGAGACAACAAACCCAGGAGAGGTGTGGAGGAGAAACAAAGTAGAGTCCTGGGCAGAAGGATAAAACCCAAGCTCAGTAACAGCAGTCTGAAAGCGATCATACCAAGCATGAGGAGATTACTTCAGACCATACAGAGCACGCCGAAGACGACAAACCTGTTTCAGCGGAATGGTGAAGAGGAATGGTGATGGCCAGGGGAGGACACAATTTAAACTTCCTCAGCGAGATACCATTATGAAAAGCATTCTTAACATCTATTTGATAAAGAGGCCGATTACGAACAGTAGCGACAGATATCAAAGTAGGACAGTAGTCATCTGGCAATAGGGGCAAAGTCTCCTCATAATCAATACCATACTCCTGGGAAAAGCTCTTGGTAACTAGGCGAGTCTTGTAGCGCTCAGAGACCATCAGAATGAGTCTTGACTTTGTAGACCATTTGCAACCAACCAGATTCTTACCAACAGGTAAAGGAATCAACTCCCAAGTATTAATATATTCAAAATGTGTAATAATACAAAAAATACATCTGATTATATAGTAAAACCTAATCCCAAGACTAAAGGAAATACTGCCATATATATACACCTAAATCACTGCTATATATATAAACCAAACCTAAAAGAAACACTGCCATATATATACACCTAAATACTGCCATATTTATACACCTATACAATCTCTAGA